ATGTGTGGAATAGCTTTATTTAACTTTAAATCACGGCATCATTTCTTCTTTGGGAAAAATAATAACCTATGCCGCCATTTTAAATCCCAGAATTCCGTACGTTCCGGTCAAACGAACAAACAAAAAATATTTAATAAATAATTGAAGCAATTTAGATAAATAACAACAATAACCGTAACCTATAAAAAAATATTGTAATGTGAATAGAAATAATATGATATAAACCGATTTAAACACAATCATCAACCGTGAACAGATCGTGACCTTGACCTTGCCCGAGACGATAAAAATATATTTGTACATCTATGTAGTTCTAAAAATGGCGGCTGTTCGTTTGAAAGGCCTGTAATATTTCTGATAATGAATCTATTCATATAATTTGTTTGTATACGCTCTACCATATTTTATATGAGGTTACATAATTATGTTATATTAAAAGAATAATCAAATCGGGGAATTTTAATTTTCAGAGATAGGTCTTTTATCGAGAGACGATAAATATATGGACTTATATAGCTAGAGTAGATCTCTATGTTAATTGACTGGGTCATTATTATCTATTTTTCAGATTCATAACTTAAAAAAATGGAACTAGTCTTGGTCCAACCTTTATTTTTATATGGTTTTACAACTTATATAATTAAGTGTTGAACTTTTAAATTTGAAATAAAAAAACGGCACCAATCGACTCATGACCTATTTTATATATTGTATATGTAGACAGCCGCCATTTTAAATGACATTAACAACACACATTGATTTAAGCTCTGAGTGAGCTAATGAAGACAGGCATACACTATATACAGTGTACTATGACGGAAACTTTGCACGGATAGCGGCACTATATGGCCTACTCTGATATTGAATTACAACTGTCGGAGTGTCTTTTACGTGCATGCCAATATGTACATGAGGACTTGATTTTTCGTATGACCCGAACAACTATACCTTATCCCTTGCCAGATCATCCGCCCTGCCACAGTCCATAGAAAATTTCCGTCATAGCACTCTGCATTGCGTATGACTATCTTCAATAGTCCGACTGGTGCAGAAAAGTATGAAAATGAATTTTAAATGGGGTTTGAACATCCTACTATTTTATTCCAAGTGGGCTAATGAAGAAGGGCATATGCTATAATGGTTAAAATGTTGTGATTTCGGGTTAAAATGCCGTGATGTTGGGTTATCGCCTTACGAAGGGTGATATCAGTCACCATATCTACTGGGTTTCTTTAATACTCATATTTATAGTATTTTATAGAGTCAGACTAGTGGACTAGTGAATGCACGGATTAGTGCACCCATGGACTAGTGAACCCGCAGACTAGTAATTGGTAATGATGGAAAAGTGTGTAAAGACCTCTTTTACAGGTTGGTGTGCACTTAGAACTATTGGTAATGACTATATGCGGAAATGCTGCTCTCCAGGCAAAATGTCTTTCCTAGCACATCTTCATTAGTAAGTGCGGTAATGCTGCTGTCCAGGCAAAATTTCTGTCATAGCACATCTTCATTACTAATTTTGATAAAGCCACGGTGGCTAAGTGCGTAAGATGCTGGCTCGATAATCCGGAGGGCACGTGTTCGATCCCTGCATTGGTGGAGAAAGTTCATCAGGATTTTCCGACATGGTTTCCCCTTGTCAGAGGTGCAGGAACAAGGACAGTAGTCTAGTCACTCAGATGGGACAAAAAACCGAGGTACCATGTATACATTGGCTTGCACGAAAAGATCCCTTGGCAGTTGGATTCGATATTAGTAGGCCATAGTGCCGCTGCTGGGGCAAAATTTCCCTCATAGCACATTGTATGGTATGTACCTGTCTTCATTAGCCCAGTCGGAGCAGAACAGTTGGACAATAAACCGATTTCATCAGGACAAACCTACATGAGGAAAAACCTACATTTCACAAACTTAGTAATTAGTAACGGGGGGAGGGGGGGTTGGATGGCTGAAAGGTTAGAGTGCGGGCGCTGTATCATAAAGTCTATCATTGAGTTGACTGTCGTGGTTTCGAATCCCCGGTTGTACGTGACAAGGAGTAGGGTCGCTTGTCCAACCTCCGGTTTTCTCCCACTGCTAAAGACCCCTACGCGCAAGCGAATTATGTAAATAAAAATTAAACTATATGTTAGTCCCGAAATGACCTAGTTTGTGTCGAGTAGACGTTAAACCCCATTTCTCTCTCTCTCTCTAGTAATTAGTAACACACTGGCTAGCAAATCAGGGGTTCAATTTCCGTGTTGGTCGAGAAAAATGAAATGAAATCGGGTTTAACGTCCTACTGTTCTGCTCCTAAACTGAGCTAATGAAGACGAGCATACGCCATACAGTATGCTATGAAGGAAATTTTGCCCAGGCAGCGGCGCTATGGCCTACTCTTATATCAAGTTCCAACTACCAAGGGATCTTTCATGTGCACTCCTGTGTGTACACGTGACCTCAGTTTTTCATCCCTGACTAGACAGCTGTTCTTGTCCGGCCCTCCGTCCTGTATCACTGACAAGGGGAAAACACGCAGGAAAATCTGGATGAACTTTCTCAGCCAATGCAGGGATCGAACACCCGACCTCCAGGCTAGCGAGTCAGCGTCTTACTCACTTAGCCAACGTGATCCCCATGTTGGTCGAGAAAGTTCCCTTTGTTAGTAGTGGTGTAGGACAGAGGACCTAAAAAAAACAGTGTCTAGTCCATCACGTGGGTGTGCACGTAAAAGAACCCTTGACATTTGGAATTTGAAATGAGAGTTGATCATTCATTCATTCGTTTTCTCTTTGTGTGTCACCTACAGTTCGCAACTATTAAAGGAGCTAGATCTCTATTCTTGGGCACTTAGAAATGAAATGAAATGAAATGAAATGGAGTTTAACGTCCTACTTTTCTGCTCCTAACCTGGGCTAATGAAGACAGGCATACGCCATACAGTGTGCTATGAGGGAAATTTTGCCCGGACAGCGGCACTAAGGCCTACTCTTATATCGAATTCCAACTGCCAAGGGATCTTTTACGTGCACGCCAATGTGTACACGGCACCTCGGTTTTTCGTCCCATCCGAACGACTAGACAGCTTTCCTTGTCAGCCCCTCCGTCCTGCATCACTGACAAGGGAGAACCACGCTGGAAAATCTGGATGAACTTTCTCGGCCAATGCAGGGATCGAACACCCGACCTCCAGGCTAGCGAGCTAGCGTCTTACCCACTTAGCCGCGTGATCCCCAACTTAGAAATGGATACAAAATGTAATGAAATGAAATGGGGTTTAACGTCCAACTGTTCTGCTCCGAACTGGGCTAATGAAGATGGCCATACACCATACAGTGTGTTATGAGGTGAATTTTGCCCCGACAGTGGCACTACGGCCTACTCTTATATCGAATTCCAACTGTCAAGGGATCTTTTACATGCATGCCAATGTGTACACGGGACCTCGTTTTTTTTATCCCATCTGAACAACTAGACAGCTGTCCTTGTCAGGCTCTCCGTCCTGCATCACTGACAAGGGGAAAAAACGCCGGAAATCTGGATGAACTTTCTCGGCCAATGCAGGGATCGAACACCCGACCTCCAGGCTAGCGAGCCAGGGTCTTACCCATTTTTGTCCCATTTTAATGACTAGACAGCTGTCTTGTCAGGCCCTTAATTGTTAGTATCATGACATTAAACTGACATTTGTTTTACGTTTTACAACTAATATCAGGTTTATGTTAGAAAACTAACGTTAGATTTATGTTAGAAAACTAAAGTTAGATTTATGTTATAAAATTAACATTAGATTTACGTTAGAAAACTAACCCTAAATTAACGGTTAAAATTATGACATAAAACTAACATTACATTAACGTTAGAAAACTAACATTATTATAACGTTAGAAAACTAACGTTAGATTTACGTCAGAAAACTAACGTTAGATTTACGTCAGAAAACTAACGTTAGATTTACGTCAGAAAACTAACGTTAGATTTACGTCAGAAAACTAACCATAAACTAACGGTTAGAAACCTGATGTAAAATTTACGTTAGATTAACGTTAGAATTATAACCAATAATACATATATAATTATTATGTCTGAATTCCGACTATATATCAATTGTTAGAATGTGCACACACTTGTAATGTTATTTAATCAAGAAGTATTCAAAGGGAAAAAAATTGGTTAGTAATCCGTCATAAAGTTTACGTTACATTTACGTCATTTTCTGACGTAAAAGAAACCATAACCATTATGACGTAAAAGTAACGTAAATTTAACCAAAGAATTTTACCATTATTGGACGCTAACCAAAATCTAACCATAATGACGTAAACTTTACGTAAATCTAACCATCAATGTTAACTGGGTCCACTCAGTCAAAGACAGAAGACCACTATGGTTAAGACTGTGTCATCATTATTGAGGTGAAATACAATGTGCAGTACTCATACCCAACAAGTTGTCATGGAGAGAGAGAAATGGGGTTTAACGTCCACTCGACACAAACTAGGTCATTTTGGGACTAACATATGGTTTAATTTTTTTATTTCAATAATTCGCTTGCGCGTAAGGGGTCTTTAACAGTGGGAGGAAAGTGGAGGGCCCAGAGAAAACCCACGAGGTTGGACAGGCGACCCTACTCCTTGTCACGTACAACCGGGGATTCGAAACCACGCCTGTTGACTCAATGACAGGCTTTATGATACAGTGCGCACGTGCTAACAATTCGGCCATCCAACCCCCATGTTATGGAGAAAATTAGAACCGAAATGGATGAGTTGGTACAAGTGCACTTACTTTTTTTGAAAAAAATATATATGAAGAATTATTTCTGCCCTTGCATCACCAGTCAAAAAGGGGGCATATTCTGGCGCATTCCTCCCAGGTTGCCTGACTGTAGCTGTGGAAATTTAAACCCCTCGTGTTAAACTCTATTGAACAAATGACAGGGTTAGGGTGACTAGAGGTCAAGCACCAAACAAAATTTTCAATGTGAATGTAAATCAAGCTGCATTACACTTTTACAGATAGATCGGTAATAGATGTACTTGTTACAAGTGAAAACTTTCTTGTATGGTTTTGTGTATATTGTTCAAATATAAAAGTGACAGCCAAACATATGCTGACAGTGACATTGATTTTAATAGTGATGATGATATTGATGAAATTATGTGAGTAGGCTTACACCTGTATACATGTATTTTTGTAAGCAGTTTTTAAATATTACATATTTTAAATATGTTTTACTTAAATGTACTGTACATGTCAATAAATTTTCATATTATATTTTGTCACTTTATGCTATATGTTTTTATTTTACTTTTTTATTCTAATTCATTTCCGACGGTTTCCCCTTGTCAGTGGTGCAGACGGAGGGCTGACAAGGCACAAGGACAGCAGTCTAGTCGAGGTCCCGTGTATAAATTGGTGTGCACGTAAAAAGATCCTTTGGCAGTTGTAATTTGATATAAACGTAGGCCATAGTGCTGTGCCCAGGCTAAATTTGCTTTATAGCACACTGTATGGCGTATATGCCCATCTTCATTAGACCATTTCATTTCTAATTCATTTTACTAGAACCATTTTACTTAGGTAATTACTGTTTGTTTTTCTCTTATATGTACTTTTATTTACTGGTTGGTATATATCTTTTAATTTTGTACAGTGTATATGGGTACAAGACCTGATCTCTGTGTAAATACATGTATTATAAGAACCTGAACAGCACATTAGAAACTGTTCTCCAGTATTAATACACTTTAAAAAATGATGATGTTATTATAATTATTATATACATTTTTCATTAATACTAGTGGTGTATGTTATTGTTGTGTACGAGGAAATTTATATAATTGCATTTGTTTATTTTTTTTAATTTCTTTCTTTAAATAAATGTAATCTTATACTCTCTTATAGGGGGTTGGGTAGCCGAATGGGTAGCATATGCGCGCTGTATCATAAGGTCTGTCATTGAGTCCACTAGCATGGGTTAGATTCCACGGTTGTACTTGACAAGGAGAAGGGTGGCCTGTCCAACCTCATGGGTTTTCTCCGGGTCCTCCGGTTTCCTCCCACTGCTAAAGACCACTACACGCAAGCGAATTATTGGAATAAAATTGAACCAAAATTACCTAGTTTGTGTCGAGTGGAAGTTAAACCCCATTTCTCTCTATATATACTCTTATAATAAGTCTATTGTTTTCTCTTTTTAAAAAAATAGTAAAATTGATGAAGGTGAATTATTATTAATTGTATCAGAATATGAACTTTGTTTCAAACAAATCGAACGATTCTTAATGAATCTAGGAGCGTAAAACCGAATTAGCCAATAGCGGCCAAGGAAAATTATTTAGACAAAATTGTTGACATTTTCGCTCAAATCAGACGACCCTTTAGCCCTGGATAAAATATCATCAAAAAATATTCATTAATAAAAAAGTTTTTTGTAAAAATTTAAATTTTCAAAATTTGGCGCCTAATATCTCCGAAGATTCATCGAAAATCAACAATCTGAGGAACCGTAGCTACGTGCCATGTCTCTGCCTATGTCAAAATGTATCAAATGTTAAAATCCGGCAATTATTGTAAATGTTACGACAAAATTTCAAAAATTAACCACTTCGGTTATTTCGGACATTTCGCATTGTCACAGAACGTTCAAAATAGCTTTAATCTCTAAGTCACACCCACTTTCCCAGTGAAACCGAAGAAATTGGATAAATCCGACAGGTAGTTTCTGAGATATGATCAAAATGGAAAAAAAAAATAATAAGAATAATAATCCGAACAAAAACAATAGTGTTTCACACAAGCTACGCAGTGTGAAACCCTAATAACTAGAACTTCGAAGCAGTAATGAATGGGTTTCACCGGTGCCACGTTACCCTAAACATATGTCACTTCCGGTACCAATGAAACCATTAAACAGGTTTCCACATAAGCATTGCACACGTCAAATAAAATGGACGCCGAATCAACCAAATCCAGCAATATCAAGTGTACAGTACTTCCGGTGATAATGAAAATGTTCAATTAGTTTTATGAAATCAGAAATGGCATAAGGCATCACATGGTAAAAATATTATGTAAATCGAATAATATTTGCCACTTTTATAGACCAAAATCATTGAAAAGTGACTTGTAGAAAATCGTCTATTTCTCTGCAACCGTACAAGTTAGAAACCATTTTTTGGTATATGTATGATCGTGTTGGTTCAATCTATTTGTTGATTGGAATCAAATATCATAATTTTAAAAACAATACAAATCAGACTCATTTGAATAAAATATCTGTTTTGAAGGCTAAAAATACAGTTTTTGCCAAAATGACGTTACTTCCGGTGATAATGAAAAACTTAAATTACTTGTATGAAATCGTAAATGACATTAGGTATCACACAGTGAAAATTTTATGAAAATCGAATAATAATTGACACTTTTATGGACCAAAAACCTTGAAAAGTGACCTGTTGAAAATCGCCTATTTCTCCGCAACTGAACAAGTTAGAAACCATTTTATGATATCTATATGATCCCATGGGTTCATTCTATTATTTGATTGGAATCAAATATCCAAATTTTAAACAAATAACAAAGTTCACATTTTTTGCCCAAATTACGTCATTTCCGGTGACATTGAAAATGTTAAATTGGTTTGAAGGCTAAAAATACAGTTTTTGCCAAAATGACGTTACTTCCGGTGATAATGAAAAACTTAAATTACTTGTATGAAATCGTAAATCACACAGTGAAAATTTTATGAAAATCGAATAATAATTGACACTTTTATGGACCAAAAACCTTGAAAAGTGACCTGTTGAAAATCGCCTATTTCTCCGCAACTGAACAAGTTAGAAACCATTTTATGATATCTATATGATCCCATGGGTTCATTCTATTATTTGATTGGACTCAAATATCCAAATTTTAAACAAATAACAAAGTTCACATTTTTTGCCCAAATTACGTCATTTCCGGTGACATTGAAAATGTTAAATTGGTTTGACCTAGTTAAAATTGACATTACGCATCAAATGGTGTCACTTTTATGAAAATCGAATAATAATTGACACTTTTACATTTACATTTTTGCTCAAATCAGATGATCCTTTAGCCCTGGATAAGATACCATAAAGAAATATTCATAAATAAAAAAAAAATTGTAAAAATTTAAATTTTCAAAATTTGGCGCCTAATATCTCTGAAGATTCATCGAAAATCAAAAATCTAAAGACCCGTAGCTATGTGCCTTGTCTCTGCCTATGTCAAAATGTATCAAATGTTAAAATCCGGCAATTATTGTTAATATTACGGCAATATTTAGAAAAAAAAAACTTTGGTGATTTTGGACATTTCACATTGTCGCAGAATGTTCGAAATAGATTTAATCTCTAAGTCATGCCATCTTTCTTGAAAAACCAAAGATATCGGATTGATCCGACAAGTAGTTTCTAAGATATACTCAAGTGGAAAATAAAACGGCCAACGTGTTGGATGATTGTTTTTTTGGTAAAAACAATCATCACTAGAACTGCGATGCAGTAATGACGGGTTTCACCGGTGCCCCGTTACCCTTGAACATATGTCACTTCCGGTACCGATGAAACCATTAAACAGGTTTCCATTTAAGTGTTGATTGGAATCAAATATCAAAATTTTAAACAAATAACAAATAAGACTCATTTGAATAAATTACTGGTTTTGAAGGTTATAAATACAATTTTTGCCACAATGACGTTACTTCCGGTAACAGTAAAAGTGTTAAATTACTTGTATGAAATCGTAAATGGCATTAGGTATCACACACGGGGAATTTTATGAAAATCGAATAATAATTGACACTTTTATGGACCAAAAACCTTGAAAAGTTACCTGTTGAAAATCGTCTATTTCTCCGCAACTGAACAAGTTAGAAACCATTTTGTGATATCTATATGATCGTTTGGGTTCATTCTATTAGTTGATTGGAATCAAATATCAAAATTTTAAACAAATAACAAATACGACTCATTTGAATAAATTACTGGTTTTGAAGGTTATAAATACAATTTTTGCCCAAATTACGTCATTTCCGGTGACATTGAAAATGTTAAATTGGTTTGACCTTGTTGAAATTGACATTACGCATCAAATGGTGTCACTTTTATGAAAATCCAATAATAATTGACTCTTTTACAGACAAACTAGCGTAAAAAGTGACTCATACAAAATTGCCCATTTCTCGGCAACTGTTCATATTACAAATTAATTTTCACATACATTCTCTTCGTATGGATTATTGCTACTAGGTTATGAAAGTTGCGAAGAAATATTTTAAAACATGAAAAGCCTGAATGGGTTGTGAATAGCTCATTTTTTCACCTTTTTTCACCTTTAAATCGAAATGATCCGAACACGAAATAAAAATTAAAAACACCGAGAGCGATGATTTCTGCGCATTAACAGGGCAAACCCTTTCAGTCATACCAGATTTGAAAAAAATAATATTTGCTTTCAAAAAGTGGTACCGAACTCTCAAAATTGCAGTTTTTGCTAAATTTATGTTACTTCCGTTGCCGAAAGGAAAATGTACCGGTAACAAAAAAAATGACATTTTGGACCGCGGAACATATGAACTTTGTTTTATACAAATCAAACAATAAATACTTAATCCAGGACTGAAAAACTGAATTAGCCAATGGGGGCCAAGGAAAAATACGGTGACAAAAAATGTTGACATGTTGAAATGTTGAAATTTTTCGTAAAAATTTCAATTTTCAAAATTTGGCGCCTAATATCTCCGAAGATTCGTCGAAAATAAAAAAATCCAAAGAACCTTAGCTATGTGCCTTGTCTCTGGCTATGTCAAAATGTATCAAATGTTACAATCCGACAATTATTGATAACATTACGGCAAAATATCGAAAAATGACAACTTCGATGATTTCGGACATTTCGCATTGTCGCAGAACGTTGGAAATAGCTTTAAAATTTAAGTCAAACCCACTTTCCCAGTAAAACCGAAGACATCGAATCGATCCGACAAGTAGTTTCTGAGATATGCTCAATTGGAAAAATAATAATAATAATAATAATAATAAGAAGAATAATAATCCGCAGTGTGAAACCCTAATAATAACTAGAACTGCGACGCAGTAATGACGGGTTTCACCGGTGCCCCGTTACCATTGAACATATGTCACTTCCGGTACCGATGAAACCATTAAACAGGTTTCCATATAAGCATTGCACACACCAAATAAAATGTACGCAGAATCAACAAAATCCAGCAATATCAATTCATTGTATACATTTGTTACATGTAAGTGATCCTGACAAAATTACATTACTTCCGGTGATAATGAAAATGTTATGAAATCAGAAATGGCATAAGGCATCACATGTTGAAAATTTTATGTAAATCGAATAATAATTTCCACTTTCCAGTTAGAAACCATTTTGTGATATCTATATGATCGTATGGGTTCATTCTATTAGTTGATTGGAATCAAATATCAAAATTTTAAACAAATAACAAATACGACTCATTTGAATAAATTATTGGTTTTAATGGCTCTAAATACAGTTTTTGCCCAAATTACGTCATTTTCGGTGACATTGAAAATGTTAAATTGGCTTGACCTAGTTAATATTGACATTACGCATCAAATGGTGTTAATTTTATGGAAATCCAATAATAATTGACTCTTTTACAGGCAAACTAGCGTAAAAAGTCACTCATGCAAAATTGCCCATTTCTCGGCAACTGCTCATATTACAAACTAATTTTCACATACATTCTCTTCGTATGGATTGTTGCTGCGAGTTTATGAAAGTTACGAAGAAATATTTTAAAATATTAAGACGCTGAATGGGTTGTAAATAGCTTAATTTTACTCCTTTTTTCACCTTTTAATCGAAATAACCCGAAAACGAAATCGAAATTAAAAAAACTGAGTCCGATGTTTTGTGCGCCTTTGCATTGCGCATCGATTTGGTAATAACAAATTTTGAAAAAATAATATTTGCTTTCAAAAAGTGGTACCGAACTGTCAAAATTATAGTTTTTGTTGAAATTATGCCACTTCCGGTGTCGACAGGAAACTTTATCGGTAACAAAAAAAATGACATTTTGGAAAACTTTACAAATCAGACTCATATGAATAAAATATCCGTTTTAAAGGCT